CCTCAAACTGGGGGAACAATTTAAAAAAAAAAAAAAAAGGGGGATGCCATGTAGGACTGAGACAAGGAGAAATTTTTTTTTTTTTTTTACTCAGAGGTTTGTGAATCTTTAGAATTCTGTACCAAAGAGGGTTGTGGAAGTTCAATCTTTTAGTATGTTTTAAAATAGTGATTGATATACTTTTTGTAATATGTTTCCAGTGTGCCACAGACCAATGGGGCATAATACGGGTAAAACTCAATGATGTATTTGCTCAGCCACGATGAAGTTGAATTGCAGAGCATAACCAGTTCTGGGTCCTGTGTACACAAAACCTGTCGGGCCACGATGTCAATGCTACTTCTGTGGTCCTCACGCTTCTGCCACTCCCATGGCCACTTGTCCACTATGGAAGTCACGTTTTCTTCGAATTTTGATTCTGTTTTTTATTGCAGCTTGTTTCATCAGTGCCTCTGTAGGGCCTGAGACAGGTAAAGGGAAAGTTGGTGCACTGTACGACAACTCAACTCCTGTAATGTAGAGAATGAATCGCTTTTAATTGATAGTGGAAAAATTTATGTTAATTCTGACTGAGTCAAATAACCAGGTGAAGGCAGAGTCAAATGTAGAGTTACTGCATGTGTTCTTGCAGCATTGCCCTGTTTGTATCACACACAAAGACTCCACATCTGCAGTCAGAAGTTCCATGCATTGTGGTTCAAAACGTTATTCTCAGTTTTGTTGTATCAATTGAAGAGCAATGACCCACAATTTTGCTTGCAGATTCGAGGTACTTTGAAGAGCTGGACCAAATTCTGGTGTGTGCTCAAACCTGGCGTTCTGCTCATTTACAAAACACCCAACATCGGCCAGTGGGTGGGGACCATCCTTCTCAACACCTGCGAGCTCATTGAAAGACCGTCCAAAAAAGATGGCTTCTGTTTCAAACTTTTCCATCCTCTGGATCAATCCATCTGGGCAGTGAAGGTAATATCTTTCCAGTGTGCCACAGATTCAGGGCCTCCCTTGAAGGAAAAAGGACAGAGGAGAGGATATTTCAATGCCGCAGGACTAGATAAAGCCTCAAAAAACTTACAGGCCCTGTAGAAAGGTTCTACAGTTTAGGATGCTGGAGTAAGCTTGCATTCTCTTACGTCGTAGCAGGAAAGAAAGCGAATAGTAATACTATTCAAGTAACCACATGGTTTGTCCTAAAAATGAAAGTCGTAAAGGTAGTTCTTGATTACTGTCCGTGAGTTGTGCACAAGTCAAGTTGTCACATCCATCAGTCTTTATAAGTAATGGGTTACAAAGGAAAAACTACTTTCTTTGGCTGACTAGAGGGAAGAAATAGAGCAGGAGCCATCTAACCAGAAACCGGGTTGGTCAGAAAGAGACAAATACACACGTTTTTTAAAAAAAAATTGTCTTTTCCAATCACTTACGGGAAAGAATGGGAAAATAGGACTAAATTCATACTTCATTCTGAGAGTAAGTATGGGCAAGTGGAGTGTATTGACTGAACCTTAAATTTCTCAATTCCAGTTCCTTTCAGTTTAATGCTGCTGAAAAGACTGAAGAACCAAATGGTTAAATTGCTGTACATCACATGTCTGTGAGCTGAAGCTTCATACACACTGTAAGCTGAAACTCAGCCCTCACAATCTCACATTGGCTGCATCCATCTGGTCTAATGTACCTTAGAGTAACTGGCATGATGCATTCTCTCTCTCACTGTCTCTCACACACACACACACACACACACACACACACACACACACACACACACACACACACACTCTCTCTCTCTGAACACATCCATTTTTACTGTCCATCTGAGGATTAGATGTATGCCGTGGACACAATAGTGTTATTTTGCTAATGCTGCAATGTTTATGGAACTGCGTTAGCTCTTGTTGCTGTGGAATCTATCATGTTTACATTGAAAAGAAGATTGAACCATTCCAGTGCTGACAGCAGAGTGACAATGTGTGCTTAGTTTTCTGACATATAAATTCAAGTTTCTAGCATTGGACCTTTGCTGCAGTTTGGGGAGGATCTGCACAGGTTAGATTGAGGAAACTGCTTTGATGTTTAGAAAGCTCAGACTTCACCTCTGTGACTGGAAAGAGACGCAATGATAGTTGTTCACTTTGCTACTTCAGCATTTTGAATTCTCAAATAGTTGTGGGGAAACGATGTATCAGCTGGTCTGCTCGAAGCAGCAGTGCCACTTCCTTTACCTTACTGCGCTGATATTGAAGCAAGGCTATCACCAGTACACTGAAATGAGCCCACAATAAACAGTCCTGGATTCATGTGCCAGAATGGAAGTTCAACCAGTCTGTGCAACTAGAGTCATTTCATTTTTGAGACAACAATCCAGAAGTCAGACTAACATGTTTCCCAAATTGAATGCCAGTGTCTGCATGCTTTTTTTATAAAATACGTACCAACAGTGGTGGTGGTGGTGTTATGGTGGTAATGTCCCTGGGTCAGTAACCCAGAGCCCTAGGCATATGTTCACCATTGCAGATAGTGAAATTTTGAATTCAATACAAAAAAAATCCGGAATTTGAAGCAAAAAGCTAGTAGAATGGTGACCATGTAACCACCGTTGATTGTTGTAAAAATCCATCTAGCTCATTGCACTCCCAGAGCTACAACATTGTGGTTGACTTTTTTTTTACTGCTCCCTGGGTAATGAGGGAATAGCAATAAATTCTGGCTTAGCCAGTGATGTCTACATTCATAAAGATCAATTGGATCTCCTCGGGCTGCATTTCCAGAGGAAGTCCTGGTTCTAACACTGTGTCAGATGCCAGAGGAGGGTTTAGCCCTCACCTACATGTCCTAAAGAAACATTCACTGCCAAATGATGTTTGTGACCAACTGACAGAAAAATGTCAACCAATTCTCTTTCTGCAACATCATCCATCCTTATATTAAGTGTAGGCCTGTCTTTTCCAGGGTCCAAAAGGTGAGAACGTGGGATCGATAACACAGCCGCTGCCCAGTAGTTACCTGATCTTCCGAGCTGCCTCTGACTCGGATGGTGAGCTTATGTCTTGCATGTTTCTGTCTCTGAGATGCTGAGAATAAACTTAGCCGGTATGCAGTAGAGTAGGGTGGAAATGAGAATTATAAGTTGTGCCTCGAGGAAGAAACATTAGCATCCAATGCTCTTCTGATGGTTACTGCACAATTACACACTATAAGTTCCATAAAAACTGGATGCAACCAAGCGGAGACTCGGGGACCGCTTTGCAGAACACCTACGCTCGG